ACATCTGAATTCAAAATTGAGTTCTCCTAAAGCATTAAATTCCTTTTCTAAAGTGTTGGGCTATATTTGGAAGGATATCCCCATTATCAAATCTGAGTATTGATTGAACATTTGAATTTATTCCTTTTTCATTTAACAATATGCTTTAATTGGCAACCCAATTAAGGTCCCAAATTAGCTCCAATCTTTGATTGTGCCATCCCCACTTCCTCATTTATCCTTACCATAATTATACAAATTATTTGGACATAAATCTTAGGTCAAGATTTTTCCTTATTGCTGTCCTCTTGTTTTCATTGCCATCCAATGATGATTGTGACTATTTTCCTATTATCAAGCGCTTGCTATCTCCTTCCCAAATCATCATAAACTGCTGTCCAGATTTTCGGGGACGATAGAACACTGTCTAAATGAATGAAAGGATTTCGTACTGCTGTCCTTCCCATCGAGATAGCCAAACGACTTCGCCGCGGATTAGTATCTTCGTCTATGCGGGTAAACTCTTTCCCTCCTCTTGTACCTTTTGATCCCTCCTCAATCATGGCATCGTTTTATTGTGAAAACTTATCTTCATAGCCCATACCAAGAGTTTGTGTTAGTGGGTTTTTGTAGTGACCCCTTGCAAGCTAAAGTCCTTATTTAAGTTCATTGAGAGTCCGGGCTACAAATGAACCGAGTCGAGCTGAGCTTAGTGATGTTCGTGTTCGAGCTCATTAGTCAAAACTGTGTTCAAACTCGGTTCGAAGCTTGTCTAGCTTTATCAATGGATGTTCGAGCTCAAGCTCGTTTAAAAATGAGCTGTTTGAGTTCAGCTCGTGTTCGTGTTCAGGCTCGTTAAAACAATGCTCGTCAAGCCTCTAATTGAGCCGCTCATTAAGCTAGCCGAGCAGAGCAACGGCTGCAAATCAAACCGAACCGGATTACTTAGCCTAACCCGCCCCAACTATCGAGGCCAGCCCGCTTCACGTCAACAACGTCCACACTATAGCTCAATATATAGTTCAAAAGCGAAAGTAATTTCGCGGTGTGGAACTAAACCACCGCTTAATTTTTTTTTTTCTGTTCTGTGGCCACGGAGGGGAGAGAGGCAGATGGGTGGGATTTTGAAAATAGCAAAACAAGGAGAGAGATAGAGTAGCGAGAGTTAAAAAAAGAAAAAACAGTAATTTAAATATCGAGTAATTTAAAATGTATATAAATAACATTAGTTAAATAACATTATAATAGTTAAATAATGTTAAATATATTTTAAACAGTAATTTAAAATAAGTTAAATAACATTAAACTTAATTATCTCATTAGTCAAATAACTTATAATATTTATTTTTAATTAAATAAGGCATAATCGAGCTTTTTAATCGAGCTTCTTAATTAGTATGCCACGAGCTCTAAACGTTATTGTTCGTGAACGTAAACGAGCCAAATGCCAGGTTGTTCAAGATTGTTTATTTAGTTATCGAGTATTGTCAAAGTTGTTCAAGTTTGTTCATTTATCTTATCAAACGAACATAAACGTGATGTAGAACGGGTAGGAGGCTTTGCTAGGGAGAGGATCTCTTCTCCAAAGTCTGAAGGAAATTCTGATTTCTTGCCCAGAACCTGAGAAGAAGCTCAGATTTTCTCTTGAGAAAAACAGGAATTGCTGGACAGCAATTTGCTGTGGTAAAAAAACAGCAACTATTAGGCTTCTTATTGCTGGAGACGTGAGAGCAGGGGTGGGAAAACCTTGGCTGCAGTATTAGTAGGTAGAAAGTTCCATATGGGAGGAGTTTGAGAAGGATTGGGTGGAGAAAACCAACGTACAGAGCTTGGATTAATTCGGCTAGTACAGGATTGGAAGTTGTTTCCAACTTGAAGGGGGCTGAATTTTGGGAACATAAATTTGAGATGGGCCTTGGAAATTCCGGTCAACAGCAGATTGAAATTCCCAATCTTTTCCCAAAGAGGAACAAAGTAATGTAGACAGTTTAAAAAAAAAAAACTGTAAGGAGATTGACGAGAATATGGGGAGAAATTAGGGAGTTAATTCCTAATTCTCCTCTACAGAATTTGGACAGTAAATAACTTGGGCTTAAATGAATTCCGGTTGGCAAGAGGGAGGACTTATTTCCCAAAGAGGCTTAGTATGAAATTAGGAAATAAATTCCATTTATTCATACAGGGGCCGGTGGCTTAGCAGAATAAAAGAGGGTTTAATGATGTGATTTAAAGCTGTCAGATTTGAATTTAAAATTCAATTGAATTTAGAATTCAAATGAATTTAAATTAAGAAGGAATTAATGGAATTTGATTAATGTTAGGGAATTAAGGACAGAAATAATTAAATCTTTTTTTTAATTTGAAATTCAAATAGGATTTAAAAAATGAAACTTTTCAAAGAGAGGTTATGAAACAATTAGGAAATAACTCCTAATTGGCTCATAAAGGGGCCGGCGGCTTGCATGAATAAGGGGAGCATTGAATGTTGTGATTGAGGGCTTCTAAACTTGATTTTAGGAGTTAGGAAGGTAATGAAATAAATACAATTTGAATTTCAAATTCAAATTAATTTAAAGTAAACTTTCCTAAAATAGGCGAACTTAAATTAGGAAATAAATTTTGAATTTCAAATTTAGATAATTTGAATTTCAAATTTAGATAATTTGAATTTCAAATTTAGATAATTTGAATTTCAAATTAAGTCCAAATGTCATTCACCCTAAATTAGGAAACTCAAGAAGGAAGGGGGAAAGGTGAGGCCGGCGGCTAGGGAGCCATGGCCGGCGGTTTGGACGGGTGTGGTTGGTGGTGGGGATGGCCGGCGGCTTATGGTGGAAAAGGAGACGACGATGGTGGATGTATGTAGAGGATGATGACGACGGCTAGGAACAAGAAGGAACGAAACAAAACAAAGAAGAGATAAAAATGAAAGATACAGCTAAAAACCGCGAGTCTTGGACTCTTCCGAAGACTGACAGGTGATGCTTTGCCCTTCTCCAAGGGATTTTAAGTCACGAACCCGGACCCATCCTACGGCTGGTGAAAACTTCAACTCCTTCCCATAGGAATCTCACTAACGTTCTCTCAAAAGAACACAAGTGTTGAACACAAATTTTTTAATATCAATAATCCATCCCTATTACAATAACTTAAGGCCATATATATAGGCCACAACATAAGAAAAACTCAAAATACAAAATTGCCCCTTGGGCCACAACACTCATATAAACCAACCTAGGGGTAAAACAGGAAATACATCAAATAAAAACTCAAATTCAGAAAAATAACTCATAATTGAAGATTTAAATTATAGCCGTCGATTTACGACGCCTCTTGTGATAGATGCGCCAAATCTTCGTACCGATGTCCGCATCAAAACGGGTTCTTATCGGGCCGAGCCACGAGTAGCTTGTCGAACATTCAGTTCATTGCAGCCATATTGGGAGTTAATTAATTGTCAATTTATGTTCACACATGCGTAATTTTCAACTCAACATCACTTACACATCTAGTTCTGCATCAGTGATAGTTGCTTTGAGCAATTGATCTATGTGACATTTTTCAACTCTGGAGAGATGTGAGGAGGAAGAAATAGAGTAGAAAGCGAATGCAACAAGGATCCCGCACATCGAGCTATATCTCATAAATCACACTGGATCTATTGAATACCAAGTTTTATTAAATTCTAAATTTATAAATAAATATAATTTATTCAGGATTTGGTTTTGTTATAAGCTTTAAAATCAACAAATTAAGAAATAAAAAATGTACATATGCAAACTTAATTAGTGGCATCCATGCAAAAATGCAATACTATTCATGTACACACGCAGAAATAGATTGGATGTTATGGATTTTTGGCCTATAATCTTTGATGCATGGAAAGCTTAAGAATGTATGACAAATAAAAAGAATATACATAAAATAAAAATAAACTTATTCAGATCAATTTTTTGTGGATGTTTCTTTTGAGTGTAGACATATAGATGCTAATCACCAGAAAATTTTTAGCAAGACCAGCAATTGCCATTACAAACTATATTGCATGAATTTGCAAATATGTGCGCACTAGTTAGTTTGGATTTTTGTTGAAAGCGCGCTGTTGTGTTAGAATGAAGGACGCTCAATTTCTATTATAAGATTGGTTCCCGGCGTTAGTCACCTTATATAGTGGCTGGTGCTAAAACATGTATCTGCTTTTAGAGAGTGTGGCTAAGGTAAACTGAAAAGAATTCTCAACTTAGTCCAGCGCGACATAGATGGTTATAACTTAATCATCAAGTGTAGAGGCATCTCCAGCTACTTGAGGATATCACCTAGAAAGAGGCCCCAAAGGGCTGAGGAAAAAAGATTACATATTTTACTTGCTTGTGAGAAACCAGAGATAAAGAAAGGAGCAAGGGTGGGTTTCATCTTCTAGGAGGCTATCAAGAAATTTATTTGGAATATTTTGTTATGCTGCCATGTACCTTTCTCTAATTTTCCGATTCTTTCAATTCTTGTACAGAATAATCCTTCTGCTTCCCCTTTTTGGTAACCACAACGTATGTCATGTTAAATTGCAACCCAAGAACCAAAAAAAATATATTCTGTGCGGATGCCGAACGTCGTCCGGAGACCAATCAAAATGCACCACTTCACCCCTTTGCTCGGTACCGCTGACGTGGCTGCACCTGATTCACCTCCGGACGTAGAGCTCCTACATCCACACAGAATAATTTCTCCCAAAACCAAAATGCTTTCCTTTGCTGAATGAATAAGATTGCATTTAAAAATACATCTATGATCATAACCAAGTTTATAGAATCATAGGCTTCGTTTGAGACAACTTTCGTATTGCTTTATAAAGCAACATTTTAATCTAAAACTTTTTTGAAAAAAAAAAACTAAAAAGCTGCTTTAGAAAGCAGTGAGAAAGCTATCTCAAACAAAGCCATAAATGTGATCATTTGACCACCCAGCTTTCTAACTTGCAAACAACAGTCTCTATAAGCTGAAAAAGCATATGCTTTTCCCTGCAGGTGTTTGCCTGTGGGATAGCTGTTGCAACCTACAATGAAGGAGCTACAGATTTTAAGCAAACCACTGTGTACAAGGAATCAATCCAATCTCGAGAGCTACTCGAACAGCCAGAGGATTCTAACGCCGATGTATTCGAGGGAAATCCAACCGAGGTTGCACCAAGTTTGGAGTAACTTGGATTCCCCTGTTGTAAAAGGAAGACATTATTAGATGCAGAGTGCGGATGGGTAGAATCGTCCGTACAAGTATTCGGTATCTAGCGGTATCCGCACTCGGTACCGCTAGGTACTCAGTACTTGTGCGAACGGTGCGTGCTCCGCTTCTAATAATTTTTCGTCGTAAGGTGATCACATTACTGATATACCATAATTTTTCGTCGTTTATTGTATATTCTTCTGCAGGTGATACATCTCTTTAGTTTTAATAAATTTTATATTTATAGCATTTATATTTTTATATTTATTTGAATAATACTTTAATATTTAAATCATATTAAATTTATGTGCGAAATGAATATAATTTTGTTGTATATATTAAAGTGCATAAGATATGTGAAATGGTTTCATATATTTGCTCGTTGTTAATTAATTATTTTTCAAATCATTTTGTTTTTTGCTTTGACATTTGAATTTAGGTGAATGATTTTTTTTTTGTTTAATTTAAAACTTTGAGATAATATGAATGTAGTGTAAAATTTAAAATGGTGGCTAGTGATGATGGTGGAGGTTGGTGGCCAGCAGATGGAGGTTTGGTTGATGGGTGGCGTAAGTCGGAGGGTGGTGGTTGATGGGTGGCGTGAGTCGGAGGGTGGTGGTCGAAGAATGGTGACGGTGATGGTCAGAGGGTGATGGAGATGCTAATCGAAGGGTGGAGTCGATGACTTGAGAGGGGTGGAGTTGGCTGATGGCGATTTGTAACTATTAAGCGAATTTGCTTGTTGTGTAAAGTAGCAGCAACAACAACAACAACATCAAGTCTTTATCCAACCACGTGGGATCAGCTACATGAATCATTGTGGGTAAAGCGTGCTTACTAAAAGAAGGATGAATTTAATTTTATCTAAAGAATGAATTAGAATTGTTTACACTAAATTTAATTTATTTTGAATTCCTTTTTCTTCTCAACAAATACCAAAATTATTAACACTCTGTATTTGAAATATTTTATACCCTAAAGTATTAAAATCAAACAAACCCTAACATAAATTCGTTAAATAAAGTTTGATTTTTTAATCTAAAAGGGATAAAAATAATTTGGGAAAAAAACTAAGTGAAATGAATCATTGCAAAAATATAAAAATAAAATATAAAAAATTAAAACAGAAAAAAATGCATATCAAAATAATGTTTAAAATTCTTAGATTTATTTTAAATTTAATATAAAATTTTATAATTATTTACGTATTATATTATTTTAAAATATATTCAAAATTTACAGCCATCCTAATATATATATTTTTCATTAAAACAAAATATAATTGAATAAATATTATACCAAATAAACCCCACGTGGAATGCTATGTGACTCAATTATTTAAGCAAATGATTTTTTTTTAAGTTGTTAGAATAATATAATTATGGAGCGGAATATAAATTATACATAATTTTGAAATTTATTTTGGGGCCATTTGATTTGGTGAGAAAAAAATGTTGAATGAAATGAATCTAGTATAAAAAAATATAATGTATTTGTAATATTTTTTTATATTATTTATATTGGAGTGAAATAAATATATGTAATTATTTTTTATTTGAATTTAAGTAAAATAAGTTTATATATATATATACTCGGATTTGAAGCCAGTCGAAACCAATCTGAAACCGGACCTGGCTCTGCGTCGGAAGGCCGTGAGCGATTCCTGGATATTTTCCCCGGTTGCTTCCCTAATCTATAAATCTTTTTTCGCTCTTCCGTCTCGGTCTTCGTCTTTGAAACCCTAGGCGTTGTAGCCCTAGCTTTACATTATTATTCTCGGAATTTACTTGAATTCCTCGTCGCCATGGGGGAAGATCAGCCATCTCCGTCGTCTTTCCGCAGCAAGCGACAGAGATCGTCAGTCGATGCGACGGATGATGACCCCAAGCGCAGGAAGAGCCATCACCACCGACATCACCACCGCCATCGCCATCAGAGCAAGCATGGAAGATTTCGGGACGAAGAGGAGGACTTGGCTAATTTCACGGATAAGAAATTGAATCATGCGTCGATGGTGAAACCCGTTGATTATGAACGGGAGGAGGGAGAGATACTTGAAGAGGAAGAAGAAGAAGGTGGAAGGGAAGGGCCTGGGCTGGCCATGGAAGCTGATTCTGAAGTTGAATCTGGGGAAATTAAGACGGACCCCGTGTCTCCGGTTCTCACGAAGGTCTGCAACTTGTTCTGTATTATATATTTTCTTTTTTGATTCAGTGGTTGCTCATTTTACTTGGATTATTTTGGTATCTTTAGTACAGATCTTAGCAGTAACTAAAGGAATACTTTGAAATTGAAACCTGGTCCCGATGCTGAACATTCCGTAGTGCAGACGTTTATGTCAAGTAGTTATGTTCATGCTCATGCTCCTGCTCTGCTTTCTTAGCTTAGGATCTATAGACGAATACTTGAATTTTTGGGGCCGTCAATTATTAAATTCTATTCATGGTTTCTGTTTCATATGCTTGCAGGAACTCTCATGCGAGGAAGATTTGCTCCAAGGTAATTAGAGTGCGCTATTAAGTAGAATTTTAACTACATAAAGTCGAGACATATTAATCTTCTTCCTGGAATTGTTATATCAAGAAATTTTGCACTGACTGTGTTTTAGTACAATTGCAGAACACCAATTAGACAATTTAAATGCTGAAAAGAGCATTGTGATCCTGAATTGTCGTGGAAAAGAAAATGATAGTAGTAAATGTCATTTATTTGATAAAATTTTGGATACATCAAATAATACTGGTGAGTTTGGAGATTTAGCTGGAGGTGAATCAAGAAAAAAGTCAAAGCCATTTATCAAATCAGCTGAAAAAGATGATCACAGGATTATTGATCTAAATGACTTAGGTCATAAAGAGGGATCAATAACTCCGGTTTCCAAAGAAAGTTCATATTGGTTGAAGCATGCAGATAAGGATGATCACTTGAACAGATATTCTGACTGTACTTCTATGAAAGTTAAATCTAAACAAAAATTGGAGCAAGAAGAGGATGAAAGAAGAGGATCATCCAACAATAATCGATCCCTTTCTCCTAGAAGTTCAAAGGAAAGATGCATTGAAGCAGCCCAATCATCATCTTGTGAAGTTGGTAACAAGGATCTGTCAGTATCTGATGGTCATACAAGTGGAAGATTGTATGAGCAACTTCAAGAAACTGATGCAGATGAGAGTGTTCAAATGATTCGGTCTGAAAGGTGGATTAGAGAAAGAAATAATTCTGATCATGAAAGGAGTAGCAGGTATGGTAGTTTGGAAAAATACAAAAGTAGAAGCCAGGCAGTTGATAAAGGGAACTATAAGGAAAGAGAAGGTAGTTTCTATGGAAAACATGATGTGCATGATTACAGACACAGCAGTCAAGACAGAGCAAAGGAACGAGTTGACCGAAGGCATGGCAGTCAAGACAGAGGAAATGAAGTGGAAAGGCGCAGCAGTGGGTATAGAGATATGGATAGCAAGAAAAGCCACAGTTCGAATAGATATGATGAACGTGAACATAAGCATGATCGTTTGTACAAGGAGGGGGATAGAGATAGAGGGAGTAAAACTTATAGTAGAAGGGATAGAGAAAGGGAGAGAGAGAGAGAGGAGAGAGAGAGAGATAAGAGTAGGGACCGATATAAAGAGAGCGAAAGGATTAGAAATGTCAAAGGTGAAAGGGAAAGGGACGGTGATGGCACTGAGAGAGAGACTATTCGAATTAGAGATAAAAAAACAAATTCACATAGTGACAGAGAGAGAGTTGATGAAAGGGACAGATACCGGAGAAGTAATCATGATAGGCCAAGGGATTCTAGGCAATCCAAACATGAAGATACAGAATACCGGAAGGAGAGAACAAGAGTTAAAACTGCTACTATTAATAGTCATTATTTTGAAGAAGAAAAGCAGAATTCTTTGAGGTAAACCTCCAAAACTTTATTGGGAACATGTGATTCATTTTTACTTATTATTATCTTTATTATGTTATGTATATGAGTAATTATTCTATAAACACAGGGAGGAAGATGAAGAATATCAAGGGCGAATTGAGCAGCAACTTGCCAAGCAGGATGAAGAAGATATTGAGAAGATTAAGGAAGAGAGTAGGAAGCGAAGACAAGCCATCTTGGAAAAATATAAACAGCAGGAAAATCAGAATCTTAAACCTCAACCTAATGCTCATGAAAAAGGCAAGTGTCTTTTAACTTTTTCGTGGCACTTCTATTTTTTTGGGTTGAGAGTATACATCTGACATTCTTATTTGTTCTTTCCAGCTCTTAGTTGCATTCTTTTACTTTGTTCTAATATTCACTATATGCTTCCTTTGCATCAGAGGAGTTGTTTTCTATGGAAAAGGATGGTATGCAACAAGTTTCCCAAAAATTCAATGGTGTTAACAAAACTGAGAAGCCTGTGGAACAGCATGATCTTTCAGATGCATTAGTTGTTGACCCATCTTTTATTGTGGGCAAATCACCTGTACAAAATGGTTTATCAGTTCCTGAGAACACTGGTGCTACATGTGCGCTTGGGGAGGGTAGTCCAAAGGTTAAGTAATCATTTTTCATGCCGTGTTATATGTATATCTTTATTAAATTTATACTTCCTTTTAACAAAAATCAGCTAAGGCATGATATGAGCATATATCTGACAGATGGACACATCACTTCTCACATGTTCATTAATGGTTCTCATGTTGAGAATATGAAATTCCATAATGTGAATGCCCATCTAGATTTTTTCCACAATGGTCTTTCGCTGGTCATAATGTCTGATTTCTGGGTTCTTTCATAGTAAAATGTCCGCGTGTAATTAAAACAATGCTTGATGTGCTTTTCTTTATCTACTCTGTTTGTTTAAGTTGATAGTGTTATTATGATGTTGCTTTGTGTCAAGTAGCTTATTCAAGTTAAATCAGAGGAAAAAAATAAAAATAAAAACTTAATAGACAAATTAGACAACTTCATGTTGAACAGCATTGCTAAACTTATAGTTATCTTGGTGTCATATTTTTATATAGATTTCTATATTGGATTGCTTAGTATAATGAGTGGATATTTTCTCTATTCTAAAAAAATATTTTTCAAGCTTTGAAATTTTGTTTGAGACGCAATAATCTAACTCATTGTTTCCCTCTATGTTGAACAGAGTGAGAGGTCAACAGATATGTTTTGTGATGACATATTCGGCGAATCCCCTGCTGGTGTTCGGAAAGTGGTAACTTCACTTGTCTTGTATATTGATTATTTTTCTTTCGCTGAAAAGGTGTATTCTTTGCAAAATCTTAAAGCGTTAAACACTTTGTATGCATATGCTTTGTTGTCCGAAAATGTTAAATTATTTAATTCTGTGTAGTTTTTTTTATTCATGGTATAGCTTTTGGTTTCTTTTATACATGGACAATGTCTGAGGCTCTTCAGCACGTTTTTTGTCATGCTTGAATGTTGGATTTGTAGCCTTAACTTCATTCTTCAAAGAAATTAATTATTCAAACCGTGTTAGTTTCTAGATTTGACTTTAGATATTTAATCACTAGAAAAGAGTGAATGAAAACTAGTGGATTGTAACTGAAGATGTGCTGCAAATATTTTTTCCTAGGACCTCGAAAGAAATTTTATTTTCTTTTCCTCTAGCAGATAACTTTCCCCTTTTGTGATTTTACTTATATTGAAGATGGTTAGTTGCTAGCACTTGAATTTGTAATCGAATAAATTGCTTTGAATTTCACTCATATTCTGGAGCCTGATCTTTTTTTTTTTTTTTGCATTATTTGGTCGAACTTTTGTTAAATGGGTTAATTTCATAGAAGATCCCATGTTCTAAAATGCCAAATCACGTCATTGCCACAATCCCTTGCTGCTAAGAAAACACAGCAGTTTTTTCTTTTGCTCTTAGATTTTGAGTTCTTATCTACCACTATTTATCTGGAGATTGAACTTAGGCTTGTTATTTTGAGTTTTGTATTGTTTTAAAAATGATTTTTTATTGCAACCCATGCACTTGCCTTTTCATTGTCTTTTTTATGTAGTTTTGTGGTTTATATAGGATATAATATTTTTTGTTGCATGCTAATTGAATGTAATTTAGTGGTGATTTTAATGTTTAACAGTAATCTCCCTTTGATAAAAGTGAAATTAGTAAGAGTTGAAACCCATTTAAGAGTTAGGGGTTGAATCAGGAGAGCTCAAAGTCTAAAGAGTTGCCCAGATATAATCAGGGGGTTTGTATTGCAATAAAGCATAAGATTTTTGGGAGCAACTATTTATTTTTCCTTTTTTGCTTATATGTTGTGGGTTTGGTGTCTTCTAATTTGTGGGACAGTGTAGATAGTGCTCTTGGGTAGTCAGTTTTTGCACTATCTTTTGAGCATCTTCTTTCCATGCTCTTCCCAGCATTGTGTTGAGAAACGAGCATTGAGATTATGAGATTAGGCTGAAACTTAGGTTAGGTCATTCCGGACACTGGTAATTTGGTTGAGGTGGGTTAAAAAAGATCCAACAGCGTCATAGGTTCTTTATTTTTCTAAAAATTTTCAATTCAAATTCTCTTTAGTCCATTTTGTGGCTAAACCCGACGTGGCTCCTTCCTGTAAGTTCTGAATGCATCCTAGGCCTGATCTGTATTTTGTTTATGAGCGCAAACGCTTCCTAGAATACATTAAATTTGTTTGTATGAGCATCATACAGTGCCTGCATGTTTGTAAATGAAATACAATTGACATTTGTATTTGGTGTAGCTGTTTAGCTTTCATTTACAATTTGACCCACTTGAAAGCTGATTATGTCTAAAACTGAGCTTTTAATGTGATCTGGTTCTTTGACCCGTAGAATAAAAACCCAAACCTTGGTTGGGCTGGGCATATTGTAAGTTTTCTTTTCTTTTTGTTTTTTTTGGTTTGGGGGGTGGTTAACTTCCCATTTCAATCTTGTCTTATCAAATAAAATGTTGAACAAAATTTCATGCTACTTATAGAATTAAATTTTCTCTTTCCGTTAAAAAAAAAAAATCTCTCTTTCCGTTAAGGGATGTGCAGGCCCTCCTTTTTTGAGCATTAAGACATTTTCAAGGAGCACAAATCACATATAACCTTGTGGTGCTTCTGTACTAGTCTCACACCTTGAGTTATATAGAAGCCAAACATTTGCTATCTTCAGTCTTTTCTTGCAATTGACATCTCACTGAATGCATAGTGTTGGTCTTATTCTTCCTCTCGAAGTAACTGCTGTTGGGCAGATCATTTTCTTTAGCTATTTTACTGATAATTCTGCTATTTTTACTATACATTTGTTGCTTTCTTGTATTTTGCAGGGTAAGGATGATTTTATGAAGATTGATGGAAATGGTCTTCACGACAACTGGGATGATGCTGAAGGCTACTATAGTAAGTTTGATATTCTTTCTTCTTTCTTCATTTTTTTTGATGTTTTTTTTTGCTATTTTGGTAACCATATATATCTTATTAACTTCCATAACCTATCGGTACAGGTTATAGACTTGGGGAAGTGCTTGATGGTCGTTATGAAGTTATTGCAGCACATGGTAAAGGAGTTTTTTCAACCGTTGTGCGTGCGAAAGATCTGAAAGCTGGAAAAAGCGATCCCGAAGAAGTTGCCATTAAAATTATTAGGAGCAATGACACTATGTAAGTAAAGACCCAATTTCATCGCATTAATTCTCTTCAAAATTTTTAATTTTTAGTCTGCTAGTAACAATTTACTTCCGTACTTGAAATTCTCACCTGTTAGAAGTTTCAATATGGAAGTTAACTACAAACTATTTTTCTTGGTCTTTCTTACATTTTGATATTTTTAGTTTCAACTTGTTTTTTTCCCCATTGGATGTAATATGACAGGTACAAGGCAGGCATGGAAGAGCTTGTCATTCTGAAGAAGCTTGCTGGTGCAGATCCTGAGGACAAACGCCACTGTGTTAGGTTTCTTTCAAGTTTCAAGTATCGGAATCATCTTTGTTTAGTTTTTGAGTCTCTTCATATGAATCTTCGTGAGGTTTTAAAGAAATTTGGTCGTAATATTGGGCTTAGACTGACTGCGGTGAGGGCCTATGCAAAGCAGCTCTTCATTGCGTTGAAGCATCTAAGAAATTGTGGAGTTTTGCACTGCGATATAAAGCCTGATAATATGCTGGTATACTACCTATTCAACGGTTTCACTTGATAGTTTTAGGCCACTTGAACAGACTTAACTGAATTTTATATTCCTGCCAATGTACTTGCATGTTTGTTATATCATTCACATGCTTGTTTTTATTTATCATGTTATCCACCTCCACTACTCATCCGCAAGTACCAAAATTTTGAATGGGCACTTTTTTAATGCCTTCCATAGGTGAATGAGGCTAAGAACGTGCTAAAGCTTTGTGACTTTGGCAATGCCATGTTTGCTGGTAAGAATGATATTACACCATATCTTGTTAGCCGCTTTTATCGCGCCCCAGAAATAAGTAAGTTCATTTCTCCGACATATCCTTTTTGCTTCATATATATATATATATATATATGTTATTTTTACCTTTGTTTACTGATTTTTTTATTTGATAGTCATTCTTTTAGTTTCTTGTTTGATTACTAGTCCTCTTTTGCAGTTCTTGGATTGTCATATGACCATCCCTTGGACATTTGGTCAGTTGGCTGCTGTTTGTTTGAACTGTACACCGGGAAAGTCTTGTTTCCTGGCCCTTCTAACAATGACATGCTCCGCCTCCACATGGAGTTGAAGGGTCCTTTTCCCAAAAAAATGCTTCGAAAGGTGACATTTTAAGCTTTACGTACGACCTTTTCATACTCTTTAAAACAAATTCTCTTGAAACTTCTATTTAGTTTCAGTTTGTGGAATTTGCATGTTTCCGTTTTAGCTGTTCTTTTACTAGAAGTAAATTATTTCCTGGATGATACTAGGGTGGCGCATTTTAGAAGTTTTATGTGAAGTTGTGAACTAACAAAGTTATAGAAGCATAGGAATGGGTTGTAGGAGTTTTCTTATTATATGTAATACCTCATTTTAGAACTGTAAATTCTCCCATGCAAGATTTTATGTTTTATTTTTTCATGCTTTTTTATAATTTTTATGATGCAAATGTTAAGCTCATTTCCTGATCCATTTTGAGCCCATATTTGGGACACTTTTAGTCATGCTAATTATTTCATGTCCAAATTTATGCATTATGCAAAAAAAAAAAAAAAAAAAAAACAAAAACAAAAAAAAAACAAAAAAACAAAACAAAAAACAAAAAACAACGTTCAGAGTCTATGGAGATCAGCTCCTGTTCGTTTAGTGTGCCAAAAAAAATTGGTCAGGATATCTTGACCCCGATTTGATCAGATGGATTTTCTTTTAATTAGAATTTCTTTGAGATGAGTGTAATATAAGGCTAATCAATCAACTCTTCTATTGCATTCATTTCAAATCAAATCTAATTGGTATAAAACCCATACTAGCTAAAATTGGGTCAGAATATCCTAAACTAAAATTTATTCTTCGTGTGCATGAAGGAGTTTTCTTAATTAGCTAGAAAAGAAGTGCTTTTTAGGATTGAAAGAATACAATACACTTTGAATTGCTTTATTTCAGACACAAGTTAATTTATCTGGCAACTTGTTGTCATAAGCTATAAATTTGCATTTATTGCTATATCCTGACTGGCTGATTTTTCGTTCGAACAAAAAGATGAAAGTGGTTGTGCAAGCTATGCTGATCTTGGGAAACTAAGTGTGGAAATATACTGATGAACGATTAGACCGCAAAGAGCATGCGAGATATGGCATTGTTTATGATAGGTGTATTAAGATCCGGAAGTAGGCAGGGAATAACTAGGAGTGGGGTTGTAGGGATAACATCTCGATAAAAGCGTAACTGCTGTGCTTAATGTAGTCATCAGAAGCTGAGGTTTATGATGACTATAGTGACAGCAAGAGCAGTTGGTCTAGTCCTCAGGCTTTTATTCCGGACATATTCTTCACTAGAACTTGTTTGAATTTTTGGTGGCTTCCATTTGATTGAAACCACTTAGACTGTGAATGCTGCAATCCACGTTTGCATGGCTAAGTTTGGCTGTATCTCTCAAACGATCAGTTTACCAAGGCAGGGTTGGCAGTATGATGTCTAGCCCTGTGCCATGCAGTTCCTCGATTGAGTAAGCTGCATGGTTTGATTCTTCAGTGCTTTTTGCCTTATTCACATTCTCTTAGGGTCAAATCTGTTGAGCAAAACCTTTATCAAAGAGCCTGCTTTTCTGCTAATATCCTACTGACTGAACCATTCATTTTGATATAATATAGGGTGCATTTATAGATCAGCATTTTGACCAGGATTTGAATTTCCATGCCACGGAGGATGACCCTGTTACAAAGAAGGTATTTATTCTACATTCTGCAATATGTAGATTTCTTTTTATGTCAGAGTTTAGTTTTTTAAACTAGAATATGTATATATATTTTTTCTAGAAATGCTTAAAATGCATTATTGTTTTGACAGACCGTGAAAAGGCTTCTTCTCAATATCAAACCAAAGGATATTGGCACTCTTATTTCAGGCTCTACTGGGGAGGACCCCAAAATGTTGTTGAATTTCAAAGATCTACTTGAAAGAGTATTTGCACTTGATCCAGAAAAGAGGATGACAGTATCACAAGCATTGAGTCATCCATTCATCACGGGCAAGTGACTTAAGATGCTGATTTTCTGACCAAAAAAGTTCAGTTAGCTGTGATGTCAATTTATATTTATCACATCTAATTTTTTGGCGCTGTCTTATCATTTATGCACGGGCCTAGCGCTTTGGGTTCGGTTTGGAGTATGTTTGCATCCATGAGGCCTGGAAAAGGGATGGTGGTTGATTTGAAGGCCTTGCTAGTTGCGGTTCTTATTCGTGGGATGTGTTCTGTTTTCTTGTAAGACAACTAGCCAAAGGTGTTTTAGCCTCTTGTAAAGTCATTCTTAATCATGTCTTTTGAAGATATATATATAAACCATTCATTTCTATTTTAGCACTTCTCATTTATACTTTTTATTCTGGGTGGCTCTTAAATTAGGCTAATTGTGCAAATATTAATTGACGTTTCTGTCAATATCCTAACCCTGAATAGCATGTCTGGTGGCTCATTGAGAATTCAGTCACGAGCCTTCTGCTGATTCCATTTAGCTAACTTTATACATTATGCACTTCCTTGTCACTTGGCTACTACTATTACATATTTTATTTTCGTGGTGTACTAGTGGCTTTCTGGTTTTACTTCCCTGCCCCTTAAATAATTTGCGTTATGTACATTTAATTGAATGCTATTTCCTTAATTATGAGAACTACATTGTCCCTGGAGAGTCTAATTCAGTCTTTGATCCAGGGTTTTTGCCAGTCTATTCGCTATCACTTCAATGTATTAGATGCCAAGACAACTGAAAGAAGGTACCCTGGTTTGTTTGCTGGGAAGCTTTATGTGTAAATAACACATGAACTTATCTGTTTTCAAAAGCCTTTATAATTACATTTTAAAAAAGATAAGAAAAATTAAAGGCAAAGCTGTAAATTTTAGTTTTGGTCCAAATATTCATATTGTCTTTGTCTGCTCTTTTATTTCTCTCTGTGCTGTGATATTCAAATTTATTATCACTCAAGCATCTATAAACTTGCCAAAGATGTACTTTGAGTGTTTTTTTTTCTCTCTTTTTGTTTTTGGTTGTGTTTAAGTACACTATTTTTTTAGTACAATTTAATGAACCTGAAAATAGCTTTGTATATTATCTGATCCATGCTTTGGTTTCTGGAAGCCTCTTCACTGGAGTTGGCTGGATGTTCATCTCGTGCCAGGGAAAGCTTAACATGGTAAATTTGCTTTGAACTGTTTGGTTTTTTTAATGAATTTTTATTTTAGCTCTTTAGTTTTAATCGTTTTACTGGTTTCCATATAGCAGTTTTATTAACATGTTTTTTTTCCTAGGGAAGAATTTTCTTCTTCCAAGGAATGCAAGTTTTCCGTGCACACTTTCACGGTAGGTATGCATTTATGACTGCTCTAAATTATGATTAAATATGTGCAGTTTTTATTTCTGTGCTTTGTTAAGTGTTAACTGTTTTTGTTTTACAAATCTCATGCTTCTTGACTTTAATGGTGCGGGGAACTTGTCGGATTTTTATTTGGTGATGTCACAACCATTTGTATGCTAATGATGTTATATGCTTGATACCATGGATGTCTAGCATGGCTGTTGATGGATTTTACTATTTTTTTATGTTAAGCCATCACTTTTTTTTTCTAGTTTTTTGTTAAGTCAGTGAAGTTTCTATGATTCTCTTGTTGATGATGACAAGTAATTAGCAGTGTGTTGGTTTTTTACCTTTGAATTTAGTAAAGTTAATTCATATGCATTGGCTTACTCAATGATTGAGCCTAGAGCAAATGGCATGGTTGTCTTCGTTATGTTCATGATTTCATGAGTTTGAATCATGAAAAGAATCATTTGGAACTCTACTTTCACCTTTCTCCAAGCTAGCCATAAACCCCAATGGAGCGGCCCCTATTTATGGCGCATTCACTCCTGTTTTATTAATATTGATGTATTTATGTTTGTTTCATGCTTGATATGATGAACATAAATTTTAAGATAAATTACATCTGGATTCTTGAGGTTGCTGGTTGCTTCATTTTGGTCAATATTTTAAAAATTCCTGTTATTGTTTAGCTTCAAGGTGACTTTTACTTCACTATAAACCGCATTTCTTACCTGGAACTCTATCATTCACATCCTACTTAGCTGCCAGCCTTTACTATTTTACGTAGGCTTTTAATTTTATTGCAGTTACACGCCCATTTCCTTGGCTTTCCGCAAAGAAGATCAAAGCTTCATATGTAGCTTTTGGATTACTTCAAAGTTGAGGTCTAGTAATAAGTTTTGCAAGTGTAGGTGAGTTGCAACAATGAAGATACCTTAACCTACTGTATATTGAGGCGTTCATTAATGTGCATTGAATCTTTGTGATTACTTCAGTGGCGTGCACCTTATGACTTAAAATTTCTTCTGACTTTTTCCCAACACATACCCTTTTCGCAATGATCACATCGAATCGAATTACCAACAAAACTAGGAAAACTGAAAGCTGGAAAGGATCAGTTGAAGAAATGCCTAATTAATGAGACTTAAGTTTGTAGATGTTGCAAAGAATGTACAAGTGATTAGGAAAATCTAACTCAATTGTTTTTTTTTTCTTTCTCATGTTTGTCATAGGAGATTTTATTGCTGTAATTTTCATGAACGAAATTATGCAATAATTAAGATGTGATTTCTTTTTCAGCACGCTTACTAAAGGTAACTTAAAAATTTACAGTTTGGACATCAAACTACGTATGCATAAAATTCAAACAGGCCACAATGCCATGCCTAGTTCAAACAACATTAGCTCTTTAGCCAGACCTATAAAAAAACTTCAAATCTGCTACAAGTTAAAAATACCTCAAGCAAAAAATAAAAACACGTCCATCAGTAATCTAAACTTGAGTCATACACTCTTTACTTTATTAATGTACGTTGTATCATTTTTGTGCTGCTTAGCCAATTTTTTAACTTGGTTCAATCCTTGTTCATTGCCATGACCAAATGCTATAATTTCTTGTAAATCTAATTAGATTGATTTTTTATAAGGCTAAAGATAATACAGAAGTTCTATTTTAAATTGCGTCTTATCTTTACTTCTTTTAGTATTGCCTATAGGAGGGCCTTCACATGCCTTTTTATTGTGACCCGGGGCAGAACCAGCTCCAATTTTCAGGGGAGGCAATTTTAATATAAAAATAATTAAATAAAAAAAATAATTAAATATTATATATATATATATATAAAATTATGAAAAGTTGTTTTAAAAATTTTTAGCTTTATATTTGATCTAAAAAAAAAAAATTTAGCTTCCAAATGCAAACTAAATGTCTATCAAAATCTTCATTTTCAGCCACAAAAAAAGAAAAAAAAAATTGCAAGAACTTGAAACAAATATACATAATTGATATTCTTAATCAAATCCTAGAGATTTTTTGTGCACTAATTAACTCACTTTCAAAAGGTATTTTTAAACTAAAGTTATTGCATAGAAAAATGAGCCTCCATTACTACCTATTGTCATAGCAATTAAAAAATAGAGAATGTAGATACATTGGGAGAAGTTAAAGCAAAAAATGCAATGTATGGTTGAGATGAATCAAGCAATGACTAGTAGGGGCAAAAAAGCTTTTTAGGGGGGGCAAAATTCATTTTTTACTCTCCTTTAAGTTAAAAAATTTATTTTGCCCTAAGTTATATAGGGTTCCGCCCTTACCAATCATGTTTTGCAGGTTACTATGTTTGATCTACATGCAAGACCTTCACTAGTCAGTGTCTTTTGATTATTCATGATCTACCAACCTCCTCCTGATTTCAGATGCAAATATCTTCTACTTTTTTCACGTGCATTATTTTTTATATCAGTAATTTTTTTATCATGCCTTTATTTGCCTTCATTTAAACATTTAGCATAAAGTAACTAGAACAATATCATTCTTGGTTGTTCCTATTGCATGCAATGCACAAAAAAAATCATTTTACATCGGTGTCACATCGGTGTCAGCTAATATCCCTTACTTTTCATTCACATCTCTGCCATTTTCTAGATAAATGGATTACAAATATGTGCCTCTTATCAACAACTTGAATTTTGAAATTGTTCTTGTCTGGTAGGGAACCATTCATCCACATGGCACCTCTCTTATTCTAGTCTAGTCTAGTCTAGTCTATTCTAATCTACTCTAGTATTTCCCTGTTGCTGCAGTCAGTGTGCCTGATTTTCACTGAATTGTTCCTCATATGATTGATTTTTCCTGTTGACTTCAATCTCAGATTCTTCTACAGGGTTAGCATGGGCTTCGCCATGTTAAAATATTTAATCAGATTATTATTACTAAAATTGCTTTAGATCATATATATCTCCTTTTTAGCTTTGAGATAGCCTATTTCATTGTCAAGCATGTAGGGATTGTGAGCTTGACTACATTCTAAAAGTTGCTTCCTCAGTTCTAGATCAGAAAAGGCCTTAAAGTTGGTGAAGATATGTATCATTGTATGCAACAATGTATCTACTTGATACGCGTGAATCATTTAGTAATAACCATATCTAATCCCTTTACAAGAGATAATACATCATTATCACTCTGTTCGAAGGTAAACTTATGTGATTTATGCACTAATTAATTAAAAGTAAGATTACTAATCGTTTGCTTATCATGTGTTTTGGCGGTGAACTTATGGGATTTATGCAATAAATAATTAAAAGTATGATCACTAACCTTTTGTTTATCATATACTTTGGGAGATTCATATTAAATCCATCATATCCCTGTGACATTCATGTTAAATCCATCATAACTTTGTGCAGAATCCAAAGATTATCGGAGCTACCCCTACTTTGCCTCTTCCTCAGTTTCTACGATTATAATAATTAATGGCTGTAGACAATTATTGGCATTGACACCAACTAGAGGCTGTAAACATACTCCATAAGGTCCCTTTAGGTGAGCTCCATCCATGCACGATAATGATCAAAATTAACATAATAATCCCTTCATTGGGCCACCAAAATAATGTAAAAAAAATTCAAAATTTTATTTGAACTCTTCGACTATCATTTGTTTGTGAAAGCTTTTGTAGTTAAGCTTTTTATGCAATGATGCATGGATCCTTAAATCACATCCTTTAGAGGCCCATTTGTGGGTGTTTCTTATTATATCATTTTTATCTTCTATGGTGCTATTTCTTCCTATAAACAATATATTCCTAAGATTTCTTTCATATGTTGTACATTCTCAAACAGTTAGTAAATCTTTAACAGAACTTCTCATTATCAGTGTCCAGATAGGGAATACGATTCAAAGCTCTTTTCCAATTCTTCTCTTGTTTGCTTGCCTTCCATCATTAGATGCTGCACTCCCACCACCAACTACGTGCTTCATACATAATTATGTGGGTAAGAAGTAGTGTTTTTTTTCTTTGCCTAAATCATCATCATTTGAACAACTGGGCCTCTTGATTGCATGCTCCTCATCATTATTGTTATTTCCCTTCAACTCTTATCATTGCATGCATGCTTTCATCCTTATCTTTAGATGTGCTACTTGCTACCGAAGTTCCTACAGAAGAACTCGCAACAATGTCAACACACTAGAGCTTGGCAAACTTATGGCAAGCATCTCCTTCCTCAAGTGCATCCATCGCTAAGATTTTCCATCCACTGTTCTGGCAACAACCTCGTGATACCCTTGTACCATTTATTTTCCTTAAGATTATCTTGTTCAAATACTTCCTCACTCTTATAAAGATAACTATCATTTTTCCCCGAATTTGTTCAATAAACATATTCAATATATCAAATAAGAAGTTGCCTTAATGCTATTGTAGGTCTTGGCATTATTATTCAATTTCTTAATAACCACTAAAATGCCATTCTACAAAGTTTATAGTGAAGGTGGAATGAAAAATACTCGTTTGCCATGACCACTGCAAACTCCCAACTTCTCAGCAACAATTAGTTTTATTTGCTATTGATGCGAGCAAACTAGAGAGAAGAGACAAATTGGAGAACACCAGGACAAAACATAAACCAAACTCGATTCAAATGTAGCTTGCAAACATCCAATCAAACTTAGAAGAAACAAAAGCCAAATCGAACGAAACAAAATAAAACAATAAAAACGCTATCCTTATTAAAACCGTCTAGCGGTTTCCTCACATGCAACGAGAGTATGAATATATAATAAAATTGTGCTTAGGCTTGCAAACCAAGGGTCCAACACTGCAAAAGAGTCCAACTTCCTATCAAACTCCTCCGGCAAATGTCTCCAAACTTCAGCCAACATTCACTTCCAAAGCTCAAGAAGAAGGATACAGGTGGAGTGGAACTTGCGTAGAGAAGAAGGGGTTAGAAGCCAAGACGAAATAGAGAGGAGGAAAGGGAGTGGAACAATCTCTCAAGCTTTT